GTCACCTTGTTGCCACCTGCTCCCTGATTCCCCCAGCAGTCCCCAAAGCTCGCCATTGTGTGCATTTTCTTCTCCATCCCTGCACGATGTCTGCATTTGCTCCAAAGAAGGTATGGTACTATTCCACGGAGGTGGACACCCCGCAGCTGCCTGGCTGGGCTGGAGCTCTGTGGGATAGTGTGGGAAAGGGACCCCACTCTGGAATTTTGCTACCTCTGCAGGCTGGCACAGACACAGAGGAGGAGATGGAGGTTGATACACAAATTATAGCGAAGAAGCCATGGAAGTGGATGGAGAGGATACTGGAGACGAAGAGATGGATGTGGATATGTACGAGACAGAGGAAGAGATGGAGGTGGAAACGAAAAATTATATTGAAGAGATGGAGATTGATGTAAAAGACGAGGAGGAGGACATGGTGTTGGGATGAAGACCGATGCCAGCAGCAGAATAGGCAGGTGCTCCCCACAGGCAGAGTGGGTCCCCTGCTGCCAGCCTGGGGCTGGGCTGGGCCCTCCCTGCTCAGGGACACGCTAGCCCATGCACTGGATTCTGCTGGCCATCCCTGGCCTGGCCTGGGCTTGCTTTGGGCCACACAAGCCCTGTTCCAGTGCCTGGGCCACAGCCCCCAGCCAGGCTCCCTTCTGGCAGCAGAGTCCCACTGGGCCAGTGTCCCAGCCCGGGAGCACATGGAACTCCCTTCCATGCCTGACTGCACTGACCGTGCTACTTGTTTTTCTTCCAGGACTTAGGGACATCACAGACACAGATGCCACCCTGCTGTATATACGTTTTTACAGTTGTTGTGTTCAGGATAGAGGTTTTAGAGTTTAAGTTTTCTGTAAATACGTTTCATAGAGTTTTGTTAGATCTGTTCTTAGGTAAATAGGTTCTATAGTTTGTTGCTGTTGTTGTTGTTGTTCCCAATATTCTTACAATGTAAATATGTTGTGTAGTTCATTCTTGTTCCTTTTCTTCTACAAATAAACATTCTTTGATTTTCACACCCCAGTTCTCTTTGCCTTTTCTTTGGGTGTTATAAACGAGGCTCGAGACTTTTTGGTGTAATTAAAGCCTGGCCTGTTTATTAATACTGAGCTGCAGCCGAAGGGAGACACAGGCTAGTCCCGTGTGCTCCACGCTACAGACCGGGACAGTAACAATGTATCGAACAAAACTTACGAACAACAACGGAGAAAAAACCCCACAAGAAAAGAAAGAAAAAGCCCCGCTAACATGTAACACCCTGTTTTATATCCTCCCTTAGGCTTGGATTGGTCCGTTTTGGATCCGTCTCAGGATTGGCTGTTTTCTTGGGCTTTGATTGGTCCATAGCCATGTTCATCCTGGTCCAATCATTTTCCTAGGGCGTCAAATGATTGGTGGATATTTCTTCCAATCCTTACTCACTCTGCTGATGACATCATGTTCCTGAATGTTCCATTCCATGTCCCCATAAGCCCTTTTATATCTCTTACCAATCCCCCATTTTATCCGCCCAACCCCCAATCCAATACCAACCCCGAACATTCTAAAATACACTCAACAATTATCTTAACAATCTTACAACATAATTAAACATATCAATTAACTCTCTAACAGTAACAACTTTAATTAACCTCCCAAGTTCAAGGAAAAGATCCCTTATAACAATTCCCCCCTCTAAAACTTTGATCGGGCTGTTAGCCCGCATCAACAGTCTATTACACAGTCTCTTTATCTATTGTTTGGTAAAATCTCCGCAGCTTCTGGTAGTTTTCATATATTTCTTTCGCTGCTTCCGAGCTTTGGTCTTCTTCTGGGTTCTCAATTTTCATCACCCGGAGGTTTTCAATTCTTTCATCAGTTAACTTCTTTTGTAAGCTCAGTTCAAGGGAGGTTTGGACGGCATTTGTTACAGTCCGGATCATGCAAGGAATTAGACAGGGAAGGAAAACAACACTTATTAGTGCACCACCAGCAATTACTAACCATTTCTTCCACCACTCCCCATTGAACAAATTTTCCCACCAATTCATTTTTATCAAGGGTGTCCATTTTTGAGCTGGTACATGGGCTAATTTTCTTATGTTAGCTGTGATGTTGGTAATTACTTCGCTATGGTCATCGATTTCAATACAGCATTCAGATGAATTAAATTTCCCACACACACCACCCTCTTCGGCTAACAGATAGTCCAGTGCCAACCTGTTCTGATAGATCATTGTTCTCATTTGCCGAGATTGGGCTGAGAGTAAATCAATGGCCAAGGATGATTGGTTTGAAATAATTTCTACTAGTGCCTGTAGACGAATTATGCGATTCAGCATATATATAGGGGTCCTGTATCCCCATGACCCATCTTGAGCCCATGTAGCAGGGCCATATGTAGCTATTATTCTCTCAGGAGGCCACTCATCTTCTCCCCACCTTTGAGTACCTCCGATTAAAATCTCTCTCCTTTTTCTCCTTAACTCATCATAGAGTGGGATCCCTAAATGTTTCTTTTCAATTCTGGGGAGTAAGAAAAAGGAAGGCTTTATAATCCCCAGGGTGCAACTTCCAGCCCAATTCTTAGGAAGCATTACATAAGCTGACTTCCCACACAACCAGAATAGACTCTTTGGGGCTTTCCAATATTTATCTGTTTTTACTGAAGTTATACCGGTTTTGTTCCAAAACTTGGAGATTTGTGGCTCACCTAGAAAAGGGTTTTCTTCTTTAGTAATACATTCATATAGTTTTTCCCTCTCTACCAGCACACAACCTCTCTTGTGCTTCCTTGCCCAATGTAAATGTGGTGTTTGTGGAATCCACCATTGACTGGTATAATTTGTTACCAAGTACCTTTTACAATGAAGCTCTCCCACATATACTGTATACCTGGGACCTCTTCGCCACAAGCATTCTTCCCCAATCACCTTAGATCTCAAACTCCAGGTTTCTTCTTCTGGTCTGTTATCTGGTCCTGGTCCTTCTTTGTCTAACAGTTTTAAAATTTCCTGCGGGTTTAAAGGTATTCCTTCCCACGGCCATATTTCTGCCATCCTTGTATCACCACAAATCCAACAATTTGTTACATTAAATTCTCGGCTGATTTTCTCAACTAGATCCAGGAATAAATTTTTACCTCCCACTAACTGGATATCAGGAGTACTCTTAACCACCCCTTGTATTTCTTCCTCCTTGATTAGATCAGGCTCATAAATTGGTTTATTCCCCCTCAGGTTTGCAGGGTTTTTCTCTGTACATATCCATTTTTCTTTCATAGGGCATTCTCCCAGTAATTTCTGTTTAAAATTTCCTACATTTTCTACATTTTCCAGTTGCCAATAAGTTTTCCCGTCCTCTATACAAATTATTGACTGTGAAGTGTTGACACAGGAGGGGCTCGGGTTCGTATGCACTCTGAGGACGGCTGATCGAGCATCCCCTGCATATAATGGGTAGTAACACCTATCACAAGGGACAGCCTCTCCCATCACGGTGTATATCATCAGGAGGGCTAGAATCCGTGGGAGTCCGGTATAGGGCACTCTGTCATTCTTGCCCAGAGAATCCATGCCTCTGACTCAAAAAGTGTTTCCCTACCCGATCTTGCCTCCCTTTCTCCTTGCCCTGGATTGCTGTTCTTACCAGCTACCTGGTTGCAGGGTTTCAAGATTCCCTCTGTGTCAACTGGTTTCCTCTCCTGTTTCTCTTGTTGCAGGGTTTCAAGATTCCCTCTGTGTCAACTGGTTTCCTCTCCTGTTTCTCTTTTTGGGGTCGAATTTGCTAAGCACCTGGGAGAATGCTCTATTTCTTGGACTCAGAATCTGCAAAAGAAACACCAGAAGTTCAGTTTTTACTAAACTACACAATTTAGGTAATTATTCAATATCTGTTACGACTCACAAACTTCAAATAACTTTTCTTAACACTGTCATTGTAGGTTCCATCTGTTTCCCTGTCCGTTGCCGTCCCTTTCAGGTCAGTCACCTGGGGTAAGGAACTCAACCTGGGGCAGAAACAGGCCCTTTTACTCTTGACACGTGAGTCCATCCTTTTTCCTGGGTATTAATTGCTGTTTCCGTTGTCAGAAGGACCTGGAAAGGACCCTCCCACTTTGGAGTCAATGGTTCTTCTTTCCACGTTCTAATTAATACCCAATCTCCAGGCAAAAATTTATGGATCTTAAAGTCTATTGGTGTTGTCTGAGGGAGATGTCCCTTTTGTCTTAACTCTTCCAACATAGTAGCTATGGTTTGCACATATTTTTTTACGTGATGTTCACCTTCTTCATAGGTTCCTATATTATTTGGAGTAGTCAAAAAGGGCAATCCAAACATCATTTCATATGGGGAGATTCCCAAATCTGCTCTCGGTTTCGTTCTTATCCGCATCAGTGCCATTGGGAGACATTTTAACCAGCTCATTTTTGTTTCTTCCACTAACTTTGTGAGAGTGACCTTTAACGACTGATTCACTCTTTCCACCCGGCCCGAGCTTTGCGGCCTCCATGGAGTATGGAGTTTCCATGTTATTTGTAGTGCATTGATTGTTTGATGTAATATTTTTGCTGTAAAATGGGGGCCCCGGTCTGAATCTATGGTGTTAACAATTCCATATCTTGGTATGATTTGTTCTAGTAAGATCTTACTTACAACCTCAGCCGTCGCCTTGGTGGTAGGGTATGCCTCCACCCAATGGGTCAAATGATCTACTATCACTATTTGAACCTTTGAACCCGGGGCAGCTCAGTAAAGTCTATTTGTATACTCTGGAAAGGTCTCCTGGCCAACCCTCTTCCTCCTTGTGGTAACTTTCTCATTGCTTTCCTATTAACTCTTTGGCATATTATACAGTCCCGAGTTATAATTTTTGCAATTTCAAAGGCGCCAATACAAGCGTATGTCCTTAACAAATGATCACATAAGGCTTGAGTTCCCCAATGGGTTGAGGCATGTAAGTCCTCCAGTACTTTCCTTGCTAGAGTCTTATTTAACACTTGTCTCCCATCAGGTAACCTCCATTCCCCTCTCTCATTTTTGATAGCACCGTGCTTCTGTAGTTCTTCCTGCTCTTTTTCCGTGAACACTGGAACGCCTAAGTTCTCTCTATCATGCTGGTTCCTATCTTCACTACTCCCTTCATTTATTTCTGATATATGAAGTAATCTTTCAGTATCTTCTACAGCTGCCTCCTTGGCAATCCTGTCCGCCAACTCATTT